TGTGTAGTGGGAAGAAGGCGGCTCACGCTTATGGTTACTAACCACAAGGGATTTATACATAGTTAAAAATTCATCCAGTTCTGCGACCACCGTATAAAACAGAAGGCAATATTAGCGTGTACAGAGCGCACGCTCGGTAAAGGCAACAAAAAGTCCCCGGGACCGGTCGGGGCGCATGCCGCCGCTGCCGCCGCCGCCAGCCGCATGCCCGCGACATGCGCAACTAAATCATATTCAATGTACTAAAACGATACTGCCCTTTTACTTAGATATTAAATCACAGCGACGGTAGCTCAGATACCGATGATTTTGTGTTTAAACTGTAAAAAAGGATAGTAGGTTTCCGCTTAAAGACGTTAGTAATCACACTCAAATGATGCTGATTTTGATTATTTTCAATCTGAGTGTTAATCCTTAGGTTTTATTGTCCTCTGATGTAGCTTATACACCGCTAACGAAATTCGAGTAAGCAGCGTATAAGCTAAACTTATAACTTCAAAGTTAATAAGTTTACTGCGTAACAGCCCGATATCGGCCAGACGCGGTAGTTAAGCTGGTGCGGACGAAGTGCGAAACAATTATTTCAGATGTATACATTACATTACATAAAATGTATACATTATGTATCCACAAAATTATAGCAGTTTAATCTATCCTAGTGCTAGAAAGACCTGCCACACACTGGCGGAAATATCATAGGGGACGTATTTTGGCCCGCCGCCGCACCAGATGAAGAATAATGATTTTACTTGCCGCAGGGAGCGTGTTAAGAAATCAATCATTTAATGGTATACATATTTCATTGAGTATATCTCATCGATGTGCACCGCCTGCGTGGTTTGAGGAGCTCGCGAGTCGACCTTGGAAGAACTGGTTCATTATCAAGCTGTAGTTGTGCTGTGCGGAGTGCGGAGTGCGGAGTGCGGAGTGCGGAGTGCGGAGCCGCCACACTATTGATAAAACAATGATTTAATTATACCGTTTGTGCATTGAAGCGGAAATCTGTCTTAATTGTAATTTACTATGTTGATTCGGGAAATTTTAATTAAGGAAGTAATCTAATTTGACTTCCTTTATATTCTACAAGTGCATTGGTGCGGCATTTTTAATCTTTTTCTATTTCAGTGATGAAATGCTGAGGCCAATGTTTGAAATTTGACATATCCCTAGTAAATGAAGAATGTAATAAGATCTTTATTAGTAACGACATAAATTACTGTATTAGCTTTATTTATCGAATCTTTCAGTTGCACAGTTTTAACCTTGATTGTATTGGCAACATGATGGCCGACACGAAGGCTGGCACGGCGTGGATCGGCTGCCCTCTTCGTGCAGGCTGTGCAACGTTGACAGGTTGCTAGGTTACTTAACCGCGAGCTGGGCAACTTCCCGACTGACAGCCTCCCCTCATCCCCTCCCAGGGTAACCAGTCAATCACGTAACTCTTATCAGTTTCCGGGGCCACGCGTAAAAGCGCAAGTTGCGACAAAAACCAGTCTGATATCGCAGAAGCTCGTTTTCAAAGTTGTTAAACAATTTCTAAAGTAAAAGCGTAGTTAATACATTATTCCTGAACTGATTCATTTTCTTCTAGCACATTAAAATGAGTTACATGTTAATGAAATCAGGGCAAGTAATGACTGAATTGAATTTGTTACTTAGCCTTTTGCAGGTTTTACTGTATGTTATTCTTGCCCTGTTTATAAACATTAAAAAGAATTATACCAAAAAACACCCATCCAGATGAATTGTTCAAAATTAAATACAAATTAACACACACTTTTTGAAGTATTTAATCCTTCAACATGTATAAACTGCGATCTCAAGTATGCAAACAATGTACAAAGTACCTAAATATCAAGTGACAGGTACGTCTAAGCTCAATGGAGTCGCCGCGGGACGGACAGACGGACGGTGCTGTAAATATTTATATATTTAGGTGTGACATGAGGCGGCCGCGTTACTTCCTCTGCGACGGGCGCGAGTGCAGCGCTAATGTTGCGCAGGGCTGACACCATCGGATGCCCTTAGATTCACTTTTTTTTTAAATAAAGTAAAATATATCCCCAGCGTGTTTTGCATCATTCTTAGCAAAAACCTATCGATTTTTTCAATATGCCCTTAAAACAATCACAATAATGGAAAATCTTTAAGACAGATAAAATAAAAATAAATGTACTTAACCTCTGCATTTTATTATGAGGCTGTCTATTGATTTTTGTTCATTAAAAGTTATTAAGCTAATTAACAACTCGCAATTTAAAAGTAAAAAGATATTACTTAAAAATTATCTTGGAAAAATTTAAATATTTCCCTAATGTGTCAGCCCTATAAGTAGTTAGTTCAGTCCTATGCAGGTACGCACTGAAATAGACCAGCGAAGTATCGTAAAGTCTACCATCTCTCTCCCTCCCACCGGCCGCACATCTCACCTCTCACCTCGCGCCAGGATTCCTGCGCCGTCCTTCACATGGAGAGAATTAACCCTGCACGGGCGAGGTGAGCAACCTGCAATGTCCTCAGATGAAACTATTGCATACTTAATGCACTGACCGACAAAAATAAAATACAAAAGTTGCTAAAAGCATATTGAATGCCATTTAAATAATGGCCAGTCTATACAGATATAGTAATTTATATTTAAAAGGTCTTGTCCACGCGACTATAGACGACTATCTTTATATAAATATGTCAACAGTTAACTTTATTATGTCCCTCGGGAAAACAACATCTAATTCCCTGTTCTATACAAAACCAGACAATACACGTACTTCAACTAAAGCTAAAAGATTGATTTTAATGCCCACGGCTACAATTTATTCAAATGAATTCTATGTATTTGACTTTTAAAATTCCACGCACTTTTGAAACACAAGTAGGAATTAATTGCAAGCACTCGCGGCACAAAACCTTTTGTTGTTCATCAGTCTAATTGATGAAGGGACTTCCCCTAACAAACTTATATTTTACGAACTGAAAAACGAATGGTTTAAGCTTTGAGTGTTAGAATTTTTCAAGAACTAAATTTGTATTACACTAACGAACTCTTGAACATAAAGTTTACAGGCATCTTAGAAGGGTTATAATCCAGTTTTGTAATAAAATCAATTATGTGCAGGAAACATGTGTAGGAAGCGGGCCGGAAGCCAGACGCCGCGACAAACAAAATGGCGACCGAATTGACTTGGCAGCTGGCCAGGAATTAATCAAAATTATACTATACTTTTCTCACTAAAAATGTTTTGCTTTGTGTTGAGTAAATGATATTTAATTGCGTATTTTAGCTTCCTTCTTACTTTTTTTATTATTTAGTAAGGATTTAATTTTCTTGAGTTTTAAATCACGAATGTTGCTTGCATGTAATTAAATGAGATATCCTTGTTATTTCATCAATTGAGGTCTATCTAATGTCCTTGACAAAAGGTGTAGGGAATTTGAAGTGTCCTCACTGGTCCCCGGCTGCAGCAGGGCAGGCAGGACGCCCGCATCCTGGCGTGAAGCATGCTCTCACCCCCACACTCATTGTATTCGTCTTTCGGCAGAGACCCTGTCGGTTGTTAGTGACGCTCTCGACTACAAGTACCATGAGTGGAAAGCATTCAATGAAGATAATTTTGCCCAGTACAATGAGACCTTCAAATTTAATTGCTCTTATAAGCTAGGGACGTCTAATTGTCTAATCAATAACGAAATATGCATACTTAACTAGTATAGACTGTTATCATAAGTACTAATGTTGACTGTAGAAAGTTTAAGATATAACAACGTGCAGACAAATATGTGCGTAATTACACAAAAACAGTATTTACCTGCGCCGGAGATACGGCGCTAGAAAATTATGTCATGTGTTATCACAACGCCACGTAACATGACTCAGATCGTCGGCGAAACAGCCGCGAGATATACTCGGATTTATTAAAGATTATCTTAATATTGCAACAAACTAACACTTTAGTGTGACAGAGACAGCATAAGTCAATTTAGTACATTGTAATGTTGGATAACAATAAATACATTCGTCATTAAGCTATCAAAGTTACAAAACAAAAAGCATAACACGATGAGGTCACTCCAGTGTCGACGTGCGACAATTGTCGCTGCGGCACAATGGAGCGCTGCAGAAATATTTGTCCATACTGTTTGATCACCTGCTGATATTGTGCGGATCACCTTGCGGACAAATTCGCGGTAATTCATTGCGCGTCATTATCACATGAAACATTTGAATCAACAAACAAATTGCGCAGTGAACGTGCGACCGAACATGAAACATTGTTTATAACAATTTGGTACCGTTTGTGGAAAGATCGTACCAAGTATATTTGTCTTCTTATTCCGTCATTCTTTTAAAGATGGCCACATTATTATATCAGGGAATGAACTAACCTTTTTCAACGACTAAGTTTCGCAGACTAAACCGGGGTAAGAACGATTACTCATTACATTTCTAATTCGTGCACGTCCTTTGATGGTCGGCGGAGAGATGGTCTGATGGTAAGTGGAGTGCTTTACAATTGGATAAACAAACTATCGCTCTGTTTGATCCGCTTCTGTGTTTACACAAATCGTAAACGTTAACAGATATCTAATGTTTGAAACTGTAACGGATATTATTAATGTAATCTTATATGGACAAAAATTTAATACTAAACAGAGCTATTTTTCGAAGTCTCGGTATCTTTGCTGCAGTTTGTCAGAGATCAGGAATATTTGTCAGTATTTATGTGTTGCCGGTCGCGGGACATCCGGCACAAATATTATAAAACATCTCCATGACTATTTATGGCGGTTACTTCTACGACATGATTTATAACGTTAAATACATAATTTATGATTGATGTTAAAAAAACTTAATGAAATATTATTTTGCTGAACAAGAAATTGTAAATACAATTTTACAAATAATTTTCTATCTAACAAATAAATTGAAATAAAATACAATTTTATGTCATAACCCTGTCTCTAACATTGAAAATGCTTGGTTACTGTCGTATTCTAAAATGGTCCAATCAGAGTGTATCGAGCAGGACATACGTCAGCGCTCCCGCGGGATGCTACAAAGATCAAAGGTAGCAGCGCGCTTTATATTGCTGATTCTAAACTGAGCAGAGAATTTATCTTTTATGATAGGAATCATTCCATATAGCTGCACTTATTAAACTCCTGCACTTGAGGGGTAACTAGGATTAGTATTTGATCTAATATATTATTATTTATGAGGGCATTTAAAAATTGAGTATTAATAAAAATGCCATTAAGGGACACTTTTTATTCCCAATGTGGGTGTGTAGAAACAATAAATGTTTACTTATGATGAATGCCTACTCTCTGTTTATTGTTAAACAACTCTCCCCTAGGGCCGCTCAGCGCCCCCTAGCGGCCACACTATTACAAAAATTATAATCCGGAGTTAAATTTATGTGACAGAGTAAAATTGTATGGGAACTTTTCAGATCAAAGATATTAATAATGCAATACTATACTATTAAATATACTATACTATTAAACGACCCGGGTACGTCGTTAAACTGCGTCCAGACCACCGGAGGACGGGCAGCAGCGTCCCTACATTACGGTGGAAATACTGCGATCGCCAACCCGCCTGCCAAGCGTGGCGATTACGGCAAATTTCCCCCCAATAAATGAAAGGCACAAAA